ACAGGTTTAGCTGCTCTGTGGCATGTGGGATCTTCCCGCACCAGGGCTCGAACCCGTGTCCCCCCTGCATTGGTAGGTGGATTCTTAACCACTGCGCCACCAGGGAAGCCCCAGTCATTCCTTTAAAATGCGATCGTCAGGAAGGATAGGGCCTCTGTCTGCCAGTCTCAGTGGGAGGATAGAATCCTGACTTCGATGATTGCAAGCCAACAGACATGTCTGGGCTAATCAGCATTTATGCTGACCAATCCTTTGTAATTTTTCATTTCCTCAACTCTACTTAAAACTCCCAGTTACCCCTATGCAAGTCAAAGTTGAATCAGTTCATACTGGACCTCCTTCCCTATTGAAAGGGTATGTTACTGATTCAAATCCGTCTCCCATTTAACTGGTGTCCAGCTTTGTTTATCATGGACACTTGCTCGTAGTTTGCCTAGTCTGTAGCCCAGTACCTGGCACATGTTTAGATGCTCAGTAATATTTCCTCTTGAAATGTGTTGATTAAAATCATCCATTTGTTCCAGTTATCTACTGCTGTGTTACAAACCATCCCAAAACGTCATGGTGTAAAACAACAATCATATTATGTTCATGGGTTCTGTGGGTCAGGGATTTGAAGACAGCACCTCTCTGTTCTGTGACATCTGGGGCCATAGCTGAGATGACTTGAATGACTGGGGAGGAGCCACTTTCAAGGTGGCTTCTTCACTCACCTGTCTGATGCCTGGGCTGTCTAGGGTGGCTAAAGGTTGGGCTCAGCTGACCCTGTTGACTGTATGTCTGCCTGTGGCTTCTCTGGCATGATGGCATCGGGATCGTCAGATTTCTTTCCTGGCAGCTCAAGGCTCCGAAAACAGTGGTCCTGTGAACAAGGTGGAAGCTTCATGGCCTTTTATACCTAGCCTTAGAAGTCACAGAACTTCACTTCTACCATATTCTGTTGGTTGAAGCAGTTAGGAGTCTGCCTCGTTTCAAGGGAAGGGAGTATCAGAGAATTTTCAGCCTGGTTTTAAAATCACCGTACCATCAGAGTCAGATTTGGGGAGAATTCTCTTGCAATTAATCATCTGTATCAGTGAGGATTAGACTTGGCTGCCTAAGACAGAAAACCCATAGAAACAGGGGCTTCAATGAGATAGAAGTTTATTTCTCTCTCACTAAACAAAGCCTGGAAGGAGGCCAGCAGGACTGGTTCAATGTCTACAATGTTAGGGAACTGGACTCCTTCTGCCATGGTGTTTCACCATTCTCAGTGCATGACCCAAGGTGATTGCTTGAGCTCCAGTCTTCATAGCCACAATCCAGCCAGCAAGAAGGAAAGGTAAGGAAGTTTCCTTTAAGGACATTACTCAGAAGCCCTATTTGACACCACCACTTATAGCCCATTGGTGGCACACTTAGTCACTTGGCCATGCCTAGTTGCAAGGAGGGCTGGGAAATACAGTCTTTATTTTGGATGACAATGGGTCCAGAGAAACAAACACATTTTTTAAAAAAGGATTCTAGAGAAGGAAAAAGAGAAGATTGGATATTGGCAGACATCTAGCAGTTTGTACCATACCTTTTTATTCTGTTCTATTTCCTGTTCTGTTACTGATCAGCTGTGGGCCTGGACAACATACTTCCTTTGGCCTGGTTACCAAGTCCTCTGGTAATTAGAGATGAGGCTGTGATGATCTAATAAGGAAGCTCAAAGGATTAAGCAAATAAATGTGTCAATGCTCTGGTTTCAGGGAGAATAACTGGAGCCCTGTCCAGTCAGCCTCCTTTTTAATTTCCTGGATGGTTTTCCCTTGGGATTTCTAGGAGCAGATTCTGAAAACATCCAGACTGAGTTGCTGAGGCCCTTCCAGCAAGAAGACCTAAAGAATTCATGTTTGTTACCTTTGGGGAGTAACTTTTCTCTGCACTTAACCAGGCTGTGCCCTCCATCAGGTACTTCCCCACTGAGTTCAAACAGGCGCCTACTTAAGTGAGTGTGAGACACAAAGCCAGCCATGAATTGAGCACTTACTGTGTCTGACACTGAACCAACTTCTGGGATCATAAAGTGACCACAGCCCATACTCTTAATCCTGTACATTCTTTTTTTTTTTTTTTTTACAAGGCCAGGGTATGAATTAAACACAACCTAATGTAGCAAGGGCTGTAACAAAGTATGATGGTGATATGGATTGAATTGTGTCCCCCCAGAAGATCTGTTGAAGTCTTAATCCTTGATACCTATGAATGTTACCTTATTTGGGAATAGAGTCTTTGTTGATGTAATCAAGTTAACATGAGATCATTAGAGTGGCCCAAATCCAATGACCAGCACCCTTAGAAGAAGAGTAGAAGGGACACAGAGACAAACACACTAGAAGAATGTCATATGACCATGGAGGCAGAGATTGGAGTGATGCATCTACAAGTCAAGGAATGTCAAGGATTGCTGGCGACACAAGTAACTAAGAGAAAGGTATGGAACAGATTCTCCCCTGGAGCCTCTAGGGAGAATGTGGCTCTGCTAATAAGACTTATTGGCTCCAGGACTGTGAGAGAATAAATTTCTGTTGTTTTTAGCCACCTAGTTTGTGGTAGTTTGTTATGGCAATTCTCGGAAACTAATAGACATGGTCAGTTTGATATGTCAGCTTGGCTAGGCTTTAATCCTCAGTTATTCAATCAAACACTAATGTAGATGTTGCCATGAAGGTATTTTGTAGATATGGTTAACATTTACAATCAACTGACTTTAAGGAAGGAGATTGTTTAGGTGGGCCTGATTTAATAAGTTAAAGTCCTAAAGAGCAGAACTGAGATTGCCCTAGAAAATAAGAAATTCTCCCTGTGGATTGTAGCTTCTGCTTATGTCAGAGAGTTTCAGCCTGTCATTCCTGATGACCTGCCCTATAGATTTTGGACTTGCTTAACCAGTCTCCGCAATTGTATAAGCCAATTTCTTGCAGTAAATCTCTTAATATATCTCTTCCTGCTTTTGTTTCTCTTGTGGAACCCTGACTAATACACAAAAGGATGATGTGATCTTTAAATACGTTTACCTAAAAAACCATGGAATTGCTGAAGGCTTCATGGAGGAGGTGGCTTTTGGCAGGGTCTTGAAGGATGGGTAGGAGTTTGCTAGGTGGGGAAGGGCATTTCCAGCAGAGAACAGCCTATGCAAAGGCCTGGAATGAAACCATGCCTCCCCTATCCCCTAGTGGTTGAGGATAGGCATTACAGAATTTGGAGTCACATTATGGGGGTCTCTCCAGTCAAGCTGAGGACTTCAGCACTTGTCCTGGAGGCTAGGGGTTCTCCTTTTTTTATTCTTTGTTCTTTTATTTATTTATTTTTTGCTTTTTAAAAATTGAGATATAACTTTCATAAGTCAAGTGCATGGGTTTTAAAGAAGAACTTGATGAATTTTTACATATGTATTTATCCATGTAATCCTCACTAAAATCAAGATATAGAATCAGGGCTGGGATTAGGGTGAGGTGAATGAAGTGAGCTGTGCAAGCACAGGGTTAGATTTTCTGTCTTTAAAATTTTGGTATTTTGGGGCTTCCCTGGTGGCGCAGTGGTTGGGAGTCCGCCTGCCGA